TTTTTTTTTTTTTTTTCTTTTGTGGCTGCCTGTTGTTGGTGTTTGCCTGAATGATGAAAAGTAAACATGTTATCCTTTGATTTAGTTCTGTTTTAAGTGCCAACAGTTTGTGATCTTCATGAACTAGCTTTTCTTATTCTGACATTTTTTTTTTGGGCAGAGGTAAAAAACACTTGGAAAGAATTTGAGGTTTCTTCATTGAGCTCGGCCAGATATCAGAAATGATAGCCACTTTGTTTTCGAACAACAATATTGGGTTTTTTATCGTCAGATCACAAATGTACGCGTGTGCACACGACCATATGGGTGTGTTGATTTTCAATGGTGAAAAATCGAACGTATGTAATGCACGAACACCTATAGGAGTATCGTATGAGTGTATCCAATAGTGAAAAATAACCGATAAAATCCAAAATATTATGGTAAAATTTACCATAAAATTGCCACTCTAACTCTAAATAAGGATGGCACAAAAATTGTGAAGTGAGAACTACAAATTTCTCCCCAAAAAGTATTGGAATAATACCTAAGAAAGAGCCAAACACAGAATGCAAGGATGAACCTTTTAGTAGTTAAGAATAAGATACACAGTTAAGTATCGATACTAAAATGCATTCAACTTCATATGTCAAGCTGATCGATCTTGACGAGATTTGCAGAGTTCTGAATAAGTTCCTTTCTGGTATCGACCTGAAAACATAAAATAAAAGAAAAAAAGAAAAATGAGGCCGCAAGAATCAAAACATATGTGTGTATCTGCTCGTATATTCTGTATATTATATTCTGATTCAATTTGCCAAAAGCATCAACACTTGGCGAAAAGAAACATTTGCATTATTATTTTTCTGGGGAGTTCCTCAAACAGTTTATACAAAAAGCCTCGAAATAAACATTCTTCTTTTACTTACTCGAGATCCCATGAGAGACGAAAAGACAACATTAGCCTCCGCAACATCCTCGACTTTTAATTGCTTCAGCAATCTCGTCTCGGGATTCAAGGTTGTTTCCCAAAGCTGTGCAGGCATCATCTCTCCCAAGCCTGCATTTTTTTTTTTTAATTTTATTTTTCAGATTAAAATGTCGGTCAGATGAGTAGTAGAATATGCCATATACAGTTTCTGTATTGCAAACGAAGAGCATATAGGGAATTTCAAATTTATTGGCCACTGATATCTTCTTTTGAAAAAGACCCACCTTTAAACCTCTGAATAGTGTACGAATTCGGAGAAAGTTCACGTATATGGCGATTAAGATCATGGTCATCGTAACAATAATATGCTTTCTTGCGTGTCTCAACCTGAATTATGAATTTGTAATTATTAAATCGAAGCCCCACCTTTTTTCCAGTTCAAATCAATAGAAATAAAGCAGCTTGGAAAATCATCTTCAAATACCTTATACAGAGGTGGGACCCCAACATAGATACACCCTTCATCGAACAAAGCTCTCTGCAGGCAAAATTGTATAAGTTCCCAATGTAAAGCTCGAATAGCCAACAAAATCATAATAAAAAAAATAATAATAATAATAATATTGTCGAAAAACGACTTCTTTTTGTGTTAAGCACCTGGTAGCGAAAGAAAAAGGTCAACAACAATGTTCGTATGTGGGCCCCATCAACATCAGCATCAGTTAATATTATGATTTTGTGATAACGTAGGGAATCCTTATTGAAATCTTCACCCTGAAAATAAAAGATTATACTCAAATCAGTAGAAAAGTCGAAGGAATCAATAGTGGAAGAGTGCAAAAATTAAAGTCAAATTTAGAAACAAAAAGAAACATGTAAAATATGTATTTTATTGGAAAAATAATAATATAGAAAGAGCTAAACCTTCACTCCAAGTCCAAGACCAAGAATAAGATTTTGAATCTCTTCGTTTTTGTACATAGCAGCTTCATCCTTTCTCTCAATGTTCAGAATTTTACCCCTTAAAGGAAGCACGGCCTGTATAACGGCACAAGATTTGTTTTTATTCATAAACCTCAATGTGTAAGTAATATTATGTTCTATTACACCATGTATAATAATATGAAACTTAAAAGTTTAAAAAAAAAAACTTAAATCTTCACCTGAAACCGTCGATCGCGGCCTTGTTTGGCACTCCCACCAGCTGAGTCTCCCTCAACTATGAATATCTCTGATAATTTTTTTTTTTTTTTTTTTAATTGAACAAATAATTGTAACTCTACTAATAAGCTACAAAAAAAGAAAAAGATAATAACAGCAAATAGTAATAAATAATCATATACCAGATTCTTCAGGATTTGTAGATGAACAATCAGCAAGCTTTCCAGGAAGGGAAGATGATTTCAGAACACTCTTTTGTCTCACCAATTCTCTAGCCCTCTTTGCCGCTAGCGCTGCCTAAAAACAAATATTTGAATTAAGATTGATCAAAAACAGATATTTCGAAAATTGGTTTGAAGCTAATTAAAATAACAGAAGCTGCTTAAATTGAAATGCATCCCACAAGTAGAGCCATATGGAGAATATAATATACCTTGAGAGCATTGAGGGACTTTGAAAGAATTGCATCAAGAACATCCGGATGCAACTCGAGGTACTCAGTAAGATATTCTTGGATAGATTGATCGACCACTTTCCTCACCTCCGGATTTCCTAATCGTGTCTTTCAGATTCGAAGGAAATTTTTATTTCAATAAAATTTCAACATGCAAACTCGGAAGTTCTAGAAGATTCCTTTTTTTCCTTTATTCAGTATACCTTTGTCTGTCCTTCAAATTCTGGGTTTGGAACTTTGACAGAGATGACACAAGTCAATCCCTCTCTCACGTGCTCACCACTTAAACTAATATCCTTTTCCTGGGAAAGAATAACAACTTTTAAGGTGAAGATATTGACAAACGTGAAAAGAAAAAAAAAAAAAAAAATCAAATTTCTATGCATGATACCTTAATGACTTTGGACTTCTTTCCAAGGTTGTTGAGCGTTCTAGTTAACGATGCTTTCACCCCGTCAATATGAGTGCCACCATCCACAGTTCTAATGCTGTTGGCATATCCTAATAAAGTATCTGAATATGCATCTGCACACCTGTATAAAGATAATAAAAAAATATCCAAATTAAATTCATATT